GAATATTAAATGTAGGAGAATCATCTTCAACACCATCCTCCAAATACCTTTCCAACTCATTTTTTTGCACTTCACATTGTTTTTTCTTCATATTCATTCTAAACAAATTGTCCCAATCTTCATCATCTTCACCATTTTCAATTCTAGAATGAGAGGCAATGTTTGAAGATGAGGCATTGGAACCACCATCATGAGAAACAGGATACAAAAATAAATAGTGCTCAAACAATTTAGCAATGAGAGATTTCAATTTCTTTAACATATCCTCTGACAATTTTTCACCATACATCCGAGTAAAACAAAATTCAATATAGTCAAGCTTATAACGAAGATCAAGATAAATAGCAACAAAGAGAAGATAATTTATTGTATTGCTTTCCCAATACTTGTTGTACTTCAATTGCATATTTGCTGTCATGGTTTTCAAAATTGGATCACTAACATTGTGCCTCCATTTATTCAACGTTTTTTTAATATCCACCAACTGTTTGAAAAAAGAGTTAGCAGTAACATGCAATGACCCAGAAAAAGAAAGTATGGCATCATAAAAAGTTTTCAAAAACTTCACAAAAATACGAGCTCGTTCCCAATCAGCTCGATTAGGACATCCTTTCGACTCAATACAGAGATTAGTTAAAAATGCAACATCAGCATGTTCTAAGCGGTAAAATGCATGTTCATACTTTTCAGCGATGTTCAACATTAAATAAGTAGAGTTCCATTTGGTTTCTACATCTAGTGTTACCAATGCTTTAGAACATACACCAACAACTTCTGCACACTTCTTGAAAGTAGCCAACCTACTAGGAGAAGCCTTGACAAACTTACATGCAACCCTAATTCTTTTAACAGATTCATCAATATCCTTTATTCCTTCTTTAACAATCAAGTTTAATATGTGAGCACTACATCTCATATGCAAGTACTCCCCATTAAACAAAGTACGACCATTCCAAAAACTCATGCCTCGATTTAAATAATCAATTGCCAAATTGTTAGCACTTGCATTATCAACAGTCACACAACATATAGACTTGATACCCCATTCCTTCATGAAATTCTCTAATGTTATCCCTATAGTTTCACCTTTATGGTCAGCAATTATACCAAAGCTTAATATACTCTTCTTTAAATTCCACTCGTCATCAATATAGTGAGCTGTAACACACATATAATTCATATTCTGAATCGATGTCCAAGTATCAGTGGTAAGAGACACCATTTGTTTATTAGCAGACAACATAGATTTCAAATTTTCTTTCTCATCGAAGTACAAGCATAAACAATCTCTGGCAACAGTGACACGAGATGGAATTTTGAATCTTGGTTGAGCCTCTTTCATGAACATATTAAATCCTTCATTTACAACATATTTAAAAGGGAGCTCATCAATGATTATCATCTTTGCAAGTGTTAATCTAGTCCTCTCTTGATTAAAATCAACAAGTTTCAAGCTAACACTATTAGGATCATCCTCACTTTCTTTTCCAATAGCTATAGTTTTTTGTTTCTTATCAACTACCCTATTTGGATTTTTCAGGCACACTTTCAAATGTTTATGCATGTTAGTAGTGCCATGACTACCACTATTTGCAGCATATTGTTTCCCACAATACTTACATATAGCCTTATCATTAACCCTTTTAAAGTCTTTCCAAACTGTAGAAGATTTTCTAGAGGGTTTTCTTTTGCTTATCTCTATTAGTGCACTTGGTGGCAATGATGACAACCCTTCTCCTTGTATTTGTTGAACTTCTTGCTCTTGTTCAAGTGGATGAGCAACATCTTCACTGACAATTTGTGATTGTTCCACTTCCATTTTCTATAAAAAAACAATTTTTAATATAAATTATTATTAAAACAACATTAAACAAAATATATTTAAATTAATAATATGAAACAGAACAGGACTTTGCATCAAAATATATTTTCATCATATGAAACAAAATAGTACTTTGCATCATATGAAACAAAATAGTACATTACATTGAACCTATCATCATATTTTGCATTTATATAAAACTATTGAAGTACATACTGTAAAAACAATATATTACATTGAAAAAAAAATATTGTAGAACTATAAAAAGTATAAAACCTTATTCAATATGGAGACGAAACTATGAGAGAGTCAAAGTATAGACTGTGGATTTTCGAAAGCAAGATGGAATTGGAATGTGAGAGAGTAAAATGAAAAAAAAAATCGTGAGAGAAAGAGGAGTGGTGACGTTTGAGATTTGCCGTAGTAAAAAAATAGGGTTAGGTTAAGTGGTATTGTCTTTAGTTTAGTAAGTTTCTAATATATACTTAATTATTATTAGTTAATAAAGATTCATAAAAAAAATAAAAAGACAGTAAAGTGTAAACTAGAAGTGCATAAGTCAAGCAAGCATGATTAATATTAATAATAATGTTTAATTATAATAATAATAATAATTTAATGTGTGATTGGAAACTGGAAGGAAAGTGCAAAAGATCTTTGTGTACGTTACAATTTACAAAGTTATAGCAACTTTAAAATTTATAAGTAATAATAATATAATAATAATAATAATTAATTATGCCACGTCAACGGGTTGGGTCAACGGGTTCATGGGTTTAGAAACTAAAACTCAATACCCGAACCAAATCTATACGGGTTGGGTCGGGTATACCCGTAAATGAATGGGTCCGAGTAATTAGTGGGTTGGTTTGGTTTGGGTAGGCGGGTTTGCGGGTCGACCCGCACCCATGAACACCCCTAGTTATTAATTAAAAATTTATAATTATTTTTATTAACTAAAATATAATTATGAAAATACAAATAAATAATAAAGGAAAAACCAAAACCCTAAAGGAATTGGTCTATGTCGCCAACCGGACCGGCGATTTCATTTACGGCCCAACACATTCGCCAATCAGCATGGCGAATTAGCCCAAAGCTATTTTGCCTATTTCGCCAATTCATCTGACAACTCTCTGCTGGATGTTGGTTGGTTTTGTAAATTATTTGAACATGATATTTAATTGGTAATATAATTCTAATACATTGCTGGTTTAAAAAAAAATTATGAAATTGGCGAATGAAATAACTGCATTTTTTAAAGGAACACTTTAATATTTGATTTTTGATCTATTCGAATGATCAAAATTTTATTTTAATCATGAAAAAATTGTATTTTAACTTGCATTAGAATAATTGTATTTTTTGAATAGGAGATTGAATCTTTAATATTTGATTTTTTATCTAATAGTCTAATAATCAAAATTTTATTTTAAAAATTAAATGTAAATTTAAACTTGCACTTCTGTAATTGGATGTACTTACACAATTACAAAATGGATTGATTTAATTATTTTAAAATAAAGAAACTAAAAATTTATTTACCATATTAAATATGTTAATATTATAGTGGGAAATGTGAACCATTTAAACTTTTTCAACTTATTTAAACTAAAATATTTATCATAAAAATTTAATTAAGTGAAATTGAAATACAAACTTGACATTAAATATCATGAAAAAAAGTAATAGCTTAAAAAGGTGAAAAAATATCTTAATTTAAAATATAAAATAAAAAAGTAGAAACTAATTTTATGTTTGAATTGAAAAAATGTCAATTATTAATTTTCTTTAAAAATTATAATACAAAATATTAGATCTTTTTAACCAATGTGAGATTGAGTTTAAATAACAATGATTAAAACAATTTATCAATAAAAAACATTATTTATTATAAGATAAGAAATACTGAGACTGTGTGTGGACAAAGAAAAATATGACGGGGCATGTAGCCTCATTCTTTCTATATGAGAAAATCATATATAGTATTATAAATTGGAAAAAATATTTGAGTAGAGGCAATAGTCCCCATACCTCTGTAGGTACATCCGTTCTTGAAAATCAGTAACAGATGTTGACGTGGTAGTACAAGTGAATTAAAAATAATATTTTTAACTAATATATTTTTCTATTTCACTGCCAATACACGTGTTTTCTATTTTTTCAAAAACCCTAAAACTCAAACCAAATCCCTAATTGTGTTTTAGATAACTCATGTTTTCTTCACTCTCCATTGAAGACGCATATGGTTGTATCCTCGTCATTAGACCTTTTTATCCAATGAAGCCGCATATGTGCTCCATTGAAACATGTGGTCCCAACATTGACGATTTCGCATAATATTTCAATTTGTGTTTGTTGTGGTCCCAACAACATTAGGGTTAGTCTCACATGTGCTTTCATGTGTTGTGTTTGCATGAATTGCTTATGTTCTCCAATATCGTATGTCTTTGCTATGTCCCACTTAGTTTTGAAATCACTGCAAATGTGTTTTATTGTGTTGACTGTAAACATCTAGGGGTTTATCGTGTTTATTGTACCATCTTTCACTGAATGTAGTGTCTAATTTATCCTATTTCATATTTGTAATGTACATGAAATGAGGTTATTTAAGGTGATATTTTACACCAAGGGTTCATTTGTAAATAATGTAATGTTAAGGTATGAGGGTGGGGATATTTATGCATTTAGTGGGTAAGATTATAATCTGTTGTTCTTCTTTGAATCCCATGACTTAATTTTGAGGATGAACTCATCCTTTAATCTTGATGATGTGAAAATGTGGTGGAAACATGAAGAGGGTTATCTTAGAAAAGATCTAAAACCCTTTAGAAATGATGAGGATGCATCATTGTTAGCTTTGTTGAAGAATAATTGTGATGTTGAAATATATACAAATCCAAAATTATCAACGGGTGATAAGACTTATATGGAGAGGTTAATAGAGAGTAAAAAAGGATATGAAAGTGTTGAGGAAAGTGCTAAGGACAGTGAATCAAGTGAAGACTCTTTTGATGGTATACACTTTGAAGACGGTGAAGAAGATAAAATGCACGATTTTGATGAAAACCTTGATGAAAGGTTAAATATTGGGGTGGATAAAGGTGAGCTTAGAAGGGAGAATATTGATGGTGCTGGTACAAGTCAAGTAACTAGCCAAGTGTTTGCCACATTAGAGATGGATATGGAACATGTCATAGAAGATGATTACATGATTGATGAGCTTGATAGTGGGGCAGATGAAGATAGTTATGATGACAGGCCTGCAATGATTATGTTTAATAAAGAGGAAACACTTAGAAATAATTTTACATTCAAGGCAGGAATGAAATTTTCATCTCTGAATAAATTTAAGAAGGTTATACTGGAACACAATGTATTAAATGGTAATGAGGCATGCTTTGCCAAAAATGATGGGTTTAAGTGTAGGGTTGTTTGTAAAGACAAAAAGCATTGTAACTACATTGTGCTATGCAGCTGAGTATTAAGAACTACAACATTTAAGATTAAAATTTTGTTTCAAAAACACAAATGCAGAAGAAATTTTTGGATGGACCGTTCTTTGAAGGAAATTCTTAGAGAGACTAAAAATTAAAATGGCTATATTTATGAGGACCAAAAATATATTTAATCGTATATTTAATGGTTGGATAACATTCAACTTCATTTCGATAAAAACCATACCATCACCCTCATTCACAGGCCAAATAGGTGTGACACATCAATTAATGCAGCAAATCAAACAGATCAATATCTATGAACTATCATTTTAAATTATTAGTCAAGTATTTGATTTTTCCATGCAATGTCTAATAAACACACAAGGTTTGATTGCATAATTCTCATCATTTTTCAACGCACATGTAATTTTGAGTACAATTTAAGTGCATAATTCTCACTCAATTTTATTGATAGCACATATTAGCAATGTTAAATCAAAGAATTCATCATGAACTTGAACATCAACACTAGAAGAAGATGGGGGACCAATCTTTATTACATTGATAAAATTAAGTTAATAGTGTATATATAAGGTTATGAATGAAAACCATAACCAAGTACCTAAGCTCTAGATGATTGTTACTTACATGACAAAGTAACTAATTATAACTTAATTATAACTAAATATAAAGCTACTAATAATTGTTAACTTCTTTCTCATTTTGTGATTCACTCCTACAAGTTTGATTCTTTTATCAAAGATTGGAGTGACAACTATGATCAAATTTTTTTGGTTGTCACAATACAAAAAACGAGAGGCTTGATGTAGGTAACTTGTAAATCACAAAACAAGTAAAATATCCATTGAAGTTTACATGTGACTACAAGTAAAGCTCTATATTAACCTTCATAGGATGAACAAGATACAATGCTATGTTTTTTTTGTTCTTGATGAAATAAGACATGGGTCAATAAAGAAATAATATCCTGAATTTGACCTTATAGTATCACCACATTCCGCACAATTAACATCTTAGCAGCAGAAAAACTGAACTAATGAATTTCTTGAAAATAATAGGGCATAGTGTAATACCCTAATTTTTACCTCTAAGACCCCACATATCATTTGCATCTTGCATCATAAGCAAGATTACCAAGCACTTGTGATTTTTTCTTTGTTTTCTTTTATTTGGTTGCTCATGTTTACTAACCCTAATCAAAATACCAAAAATATGTTTGTTTTTTTATTTACTAACTCATTTTTCATGAGGAGGTTTGGAATCAAGAACATCAAATACCAGTTCCTCAGCTCGAATGAAATTTATCTGCAAAAGTCAAAGTTGATCTGCAAACAATTCAAAATCATTTGATCAAGAGTTTCCCAAGATTTGATTGTTTATTGCTTAAGAGACTCTAAGGTTCATGTATTTATTTCCATTCCTTCTTTGACAAGTCAAAAGAATTGAGCCATGGCCAAGACAGCACAACAAAAAGTCATTTTCTCAAATTTTCACTGTGTTAATCAATTAACCAAATTTGTACACTAAGTGGTTAATCGATTAACCAGTGCGTTTTTGTGAAAAATGAGCCAAATTCAAATTTTGCAACATCTTGGCACCAAAATTCACTTGTTTCATCATGAGAATATTCTAGATCACCTCATTTTAATTCCCCTACCTCATCATAATTAATTCCCATCATGCACCCTCATTAACCACCACTTGATCTTGATTTTGCCTCCAAATTCATTTTTCAAGCCTAGATCAAATTCTAAACCACCAAAATTTCCAAGCCTAAATTCTATAAGTAGATGCCTAATTTCATTCATTCTTCAAGCTTTTGAGAGCCAAATTTACCTTGTTAGAATTCCTTCTCATTCTCTCAATTTCTTTCAACCACCAAATTCACTAAAGCTCTTTCTTCTATTAAAAGTTAGTAAGATTTTTATTGAAGCTTACTAACCTTTGACCTAAAAACTTCACCAAAACACTTCTTCATCATCAAATTATGTAGATCAAGGCTTTGGAGTGTAATTTTTGAAGTTGATTTGAAGCATTTTATGATATTGAAGTGGTAAACCCTTATTCCACCATTGTTGTGCTTGATCCATCTTCCATAATGTGATCTATGGTTGATTCTTATTGCTTGATCTTTGGATCTTGCAAATTGTATTTTATTGGTGTTATTTTCTATTATTTTACTTGAATTTTCATGCTCAATTGCATTCATGATCATGCGATGTTTGAAGAAATGACTGAATCATGAATGATGTTTTTTTCCCAAATATTTGTTGATTCTACCAGGGTTAATCGATTAACCAAATTTTTCCTTAAGATGGTTAATCGATTAACACAGTTGCAAAATGTGTTTTTTGGTTTATTTTGGGACTGTGGTTCCTTTTCTTCCTTCTTCCAATTCCTTTTGTTTTGCCTTGAATTTTGATGTTTGTTGATCAAATTTCTCTTTAAATTTTATGGACTTTGGGTGTTGATGAGATTGGATAAATCTTCATTAGTTCAAATCTATCTTTAATTGGATCATTGGATCCGTTAGGTGCTTTGAATTAGGGTTAGGTTTAGTAACTTAATCCACCAAGAAGAGTAATGAAACATAAAGATGGAATGATCCAAATGTTGTAATTCACTTTGGCTTCCCTTCTTCCCTCTTATCTTTTTTATTTTGATCAATGAAAATCTTCAATATCATTGGAACTTATTTCAAGTTCTTGATGAAGATGAGATCATACCTGTTTTCTTTTCGTGCATTATTGCTTTTGAAGGATGATCTAAATATCGTCTCTCTAGCATATATTAGCACAAACATTATTATTTACCGGTCTTAGATAGTCGTGACTTCTACATAAGTCTGATTACGATTGCTTAACATAACACTAATTTATCCCTAAATCAGAACTAAGTCTATTTTGTAAGCGAGATGTTATTCTCCTAATCTACATAGTGTAGTTTGAAATAGTTGGATCTTTTGTTACTTGTGGGGGTTAGTTGGCATACTCGTTGATTTTTATCCGAGTTGGAGCCCTCCCCATGATAATGTATGAGACCATATTTTCATTCTTAAGGACGATTAGTCGAGTATTCTCCATAATTTGACAATTTGTGCTTCATGAAGATTGATAATACTATTATGTATATTATACTAACCATATTATTGTACTAATTTTGTTTATGTTTCCTTTTTGCTCCCTATCTCTTTACTTTTATGCTTCATTATTATCATATCATATCATATTATTGTTTATGCTCCCGCTCTCTTTCCTTTGTCTATTTGGACCATATATTGTTCAAAAAAAATATTAATAAAGGATTAAACCTCTAAAAACATGGTTCTCCTAAATCTTGTGGCTATGCTTGTGGACATTGCCGCCCTATGCCTACGTATTCCCTCGTGCAATGGAAAAGTCAGAGTTAATGTAGTTCGGAAAACTATGGGTGATGGGGGGAATGTTGCTTGCCAAGAAATCTCCGTCTTGTGCCTACGTATCCTTATCTGGTATGAGAAATTAGAGCAAACGTAGTTCGGGTAACTAAACCACAGACTAGTTAAGTGTTTTTATGAGTGACGTTAAATTACTATTCTAACAGTTAAGGTCGATGCATATTTGCGGTGGAACGGAAAGGTAATGCACTCTTTTCTAAAAATAATCTTGAAACAAATCCCGAAAGATAAAAAGGTTTGAAATTTGTTTAAGGGTTTTAATGAATTGAATTGAGTTTGTTTGAGATTCACGTTGCACTAAAGACTATGATATAGGAGCGAGTACGTCGTATATCACCCAAGGGGCATACACTAAACACTCTAGACAAGTGAGGAGAAACCCCCCACTCATCATTTCCCATATATTTTAGGCTCGTGGCGCACAATGTTCGTCGTCTTTATTAAGTGTGTTAGAATTGTTTTGATATGAGAAGAGAAAGGACTCAAAGGGTGAAAAGAAAACACTAAGGGAAACTAGATCCTAATGTTACCATACAAAATGGTTCTAAGGATGAAATAAAAGGGAAGTCTATCTAATGTTATCATACAAATTATGGACCTAAAGTTGAGGTAAAAGAGGTACTATATTAATTGTTATCATGCAAAGGATTGAAAGCCTAATGTCTCCCCTACTCCCACCTTAATCATAAATTAAGTGGGACTAGGAATCCTAAGGGATCATGTGAGAAATCACAAGTAAACACTATCCAATTCAATCACAAATGAATACAAAAATGAAACTTAAACAAGTCTCAAAGAGAGAGAAAATGAAGAAGAAAGTAAAAGAAAGAGGAAGATACAATAAAAAAGAACAATCATTGAAGTTCAATGACATAAAAGTATCAGACACACACATCTCAGTCTCATACAAAGTGAATACTTACATCATGTCAAAATAACGAAGGAGAAATCACATGTCAAACCATGTCACAAGATCAAAACAAAGTGCCCAAACATAATCAAACGACTCAAGCATCTCATAAGAAGCATTATCAAACACAAAGTGAAGTAAAATGAGGTCACATAAGATGAGAAACAAGATGGGGTAGTAGTAACATCACAACATATCCGACCATTTCAATGATCAAGAAATAAACACAAAGAGCTAAATCATGCATTCCATTCATAAACAAAGCAAATGCTACACAAAATAAGCCTACAAAACATAAACCTAAAGGTAAGGAAATGTGATTAGGGCATGGGATTAAGTTTTCTCAACAATAAAAACATGGTTATCAAGTAAAATATACATCCATGAACACACAAGGGAAACCTCAAAGCTTGAACTCAAAACATGCCTCAAGAATAAACACATACACCAAAGTCAATCCAAGATAGGAGGCACTCAAACAAAAGCATACACAACCAAGTATCAATCTATCATGTTTAGAAACAAACTCAAATGATATGTATCATGTTCAGATTTCAATCCATAATCAAATTCAAGAAGAGGCAAACAAAAATTGAAGCACCATACTTAACCAAACACAACTAAACTTGTTCATAAGAGAAGTATATGATCATGTAAGTCAAATGAAATGCAAT